CATCAGCACAAATCTTCCCTCTTAGTGAACCGTGTTCGTGCCAAGAAACCATCCTAAAGATTTTACATCCATCATAAATAACTGAACATGCTGCTCTGTTTGGAATAGAAAGATCACCCCGATATCACGTTTTCATTGGGAACAAACCACAGCAGATGGATTCGGCTCTGTATCAAATTAATTATTGTCTGTTTTTTGAAGGGATTTATGATTTTAGCCATAAAATGCACATTGCTTTTTGAGTTTAGGTTTTAGGAAAGCAAATTTTAATACTTTACAACCCCTTCTGCATTTTCCTCTCTCTGAGCATTTTGTGATCCAATTGTTTCAGTCCACTTTTATTATTTGTCACTCTACATTTTACTGTTTTATAAACTTGCTTTCATGCCAGATAAATTCATGTTATCCTAAAGCATTCATGATGTCAGCTCACCATAAAAAGCTTATGAAGTTCAGCAATAATCACAAATAATAATAAACATAATAATCACAATATAATCTGTTTTTTCCATAATTATTTGCCCCATTCATTTATTGAATGGATAGTCTTCCTGAACATTTGTGGGTTTGTGCTGTTATAAATCTAGTGACTTCACATCTCAGTTTTTCTGTTGACCTGAAGCAGGAAGAAGTCAATAATGTTGAAGTTGTTGTCATGGCATCTCAGACCCCTGGCTAAGCTTTTCAAAAAGGGTTTTGTATGGGATTTATAGAAGTGGAGAGACACAGGGAATGGGTTTTACAATAGGCAAAGAGCCAGGAGCCACACATAACAATTGAAGAGAACTGATCCCTCCAATAAAAGCCCTCCACCCCCCACCCCCATGTGTTTGTGAGCCTACCAGGCTCAAGAGACCACACGGAGTGGAAATGTAAATGTCTCTGAAGATGGGCATTTGTAATTATCAGCCCAGGACCAAGTTGTAGAGGCTAGTTTGATGCACCCAAAGTCAAAGAAACTTGTAACCAAACAAAAAGAGGTGACCTAAATCTTCCGTCTACCACCACATCTGCTTCAATTTAACACCCAAAGAAGTTGCATTTCATCTAGAAAGCTCAAAACTAATCAGTAAATATATCAAATTATATGAAACCGCCACAAACACAATACTTGGATGCTGTTTCAACTATTGTAAAATGATCATTTGTTGCACTGAAAAGGTTTAATTTGACTTTCCTTTGTAGAGATGGAGAAAATAAAAACTAACTGCATATCAGCTCAGCAAAGGAACTCGCATGGCAGCATCCTGCTGGAATCACAGATCACTGGTGTGGAAGGGCATAAAAAGTTACTACTGCTCCTCTGCCACAAGAGACAAGCAGAATAAGAGGATATCCTGTGGTGGCTGTTGCAAAAATAAACAGTTTCACCTTATAACTCCCTAATTACACTCCCACGGGGGAAGTCAGATAAGCCAAAAACCATTAAAGCCACATTAGACCTGCTAATGCTTCCTACCCTGAATGAAGGACCAAACATTACACCTTGGATATTTTATAAACAAATAAAAATGACACAGAGGGAGCAGGACTTTTTTAGAATGTCATAATTCACTGTCATCTCTAACAATGTATGGATGTAAGGCTGTTTCATCATAAATGGATCCAACATGACGTAAACAACCTAAAGGTGCTAAAAAATAACTTATGAATGCGACATGCCTGACAGCTAGCAGGAACTTTAGTTCCTTTTCTGATTATATTGTTTAAAGGCCCTTACAATAAGGATCATTAAAGGATAATAAGCTCATTTGTATCAGGCCTCTTTTAGCATTTTTTTTGTAGCCGTACATGTTAGTTACATAACTGAGAGTCCAGTCTGGGGCAGGTCACCAGCACACTGGCAGCAGCAGTCTCATGACTGTGACTTGCTAGCTAATGCTACGGTCTCCTGGAGAAAATAGAAACCTCTGAGGGAAACTGTTCACCGGTGTGCGCAGGGGTGCTGTATGATGATTAGCGTGTGTGTAGCTGAGTGACAGTCAGGCACATGGTAAAAAAAAACCTGAGCCGTGACCAATCGTGTAATTAATTTGGCTCTTTTGTCTCCATCCATGTTCACATGCTTGCAGCTAAATTCCTCTCCTTGTCAATGTGAGTTTATTGTGAAGAAGGATCTCTCTTCATCCCAGCATCAAAATGTCTTTTTAGGAAAAACCTATCAACTTTGCCACCTAGTGATTTTCTTTTATTGTTCTGTTTTGTTTGTTTGTGTTGTAGCCTAAAAGAAAAATGTGTTGTCTTTCAGAGAAAATGATGCAAGCAGTGATGCAAATTTGTTTTACTGTGAAGAATCCCCCCCACACACACACACAAAATACCATGTGACCAATAAGAGTGAGTAATTAGTCAAATGAGTTCCTGACTGTCACAGGCGGTTTTGCAGATCACTGGATTCATGTTGTCCACCATCCTTCAGCATGTAAATCTTCAGTCTGTTTGCTCAAACACCATTCCACAGCTCAGAAACAGGGTGAACATGATCAAACACACCTTTTTGGAAGTCTTCAAAAGTATTACATAATATTTATGGGCGGCACAGTGACGCAGTGGTTAGCACCAACCTGGGGCCTTTCTGTGTGGCCCAGAAGTTCCATTTTCCTCCTTCTATGTTGTGGCACTACTAAAATGCTTCCTGTTTTCTGCCAAACAGCTTTCCGGGCATTAATGTGACTAGACGTGGGTCAGTGGAGAACAGAAAACTGTGAACCCAGGTTAATCAGACAACGGTCTTACTTTCGTTTGTTTAGAGTAACCACATATATAATATCAGAAATTTCTACTTCAGAGCTACATCTGTGGCTTCATCTACAGTTCAAAAAAGTAAAATACAAAGAAATTGATGTGACATTACGTGAAAGTCAAAACTGGTATTACAAATACGCACAACCCTTTTTTATTTGTGCTCTTAAACCTAAGATATCCTTTGATCAAAAGTATAAAATGTAACATATAAATGTCCACTCTGGGCAGGTGGAAGTGACTGACAGTCATCTGTTTCTGTTAAACATGAATAATGTGTGAAATTCCACTGCAATAAGAAGTTCATGTCCATCCATCCATCCATTTTCCTCCGCTTATCCAGAACCGGGTCGCGGGGGCAGCAGTCTAAGCAAAGATGCCCAGACTTC